GATGTATGCACACACCTTATTGTACCCTATGCTTGTACATGCAGACTATTACACTGAATGCACGTACATACAGCTTATCACACTGAATGCATGTACATACAGTTTATCAAACATCGTTCTCTGTCAGCTGAAAAAATGATCACCTCATATGTAGGTCACATCTCGAGCTGTTCACAGCTCTATCTGGATGACAGCCCACGCCACTAATGTTGTTCATCTGTTCCCCGGAGGATAATGTCAAAGTGTTTGGGAGTGGATGTAGGTCGTAGTCCCATGTTTCAGTCACAGAATACAGTCAAACCTCGTCAGACGGCCATGTACGGCTGGTAAGGTCAGGGAAGAGTAAGAGACACATCGCGACATCCAGGACACGTTAATCCAGATACATAATATTCTAATGATTACGGGGCGGTGGGTTAAAGCGTTGGCTCGTCACGCCGAAGACCCGGGTTCGATTCCCCACATGGGCACAATGTGTGAAGCCCATTTCTGGTGTCCCCCCGTCGTGATATTGCTGGAATATTGCTAAAAGCGACGTAAAACCCAACTCAGTCTGTCAGTCAGTTCATAACGTATGTTAAAAGGACACTAAAGCACGCCGCATCATGGAATATAACAGTATTAACGTATTATTCCACGGGCTTCATATTAAACCGACGTAAAACCCAGCTCACTCACTCACTCTGATGATTACACGAGGATCCCTTTCCATCCAGACCAACCATGTTTCGTTGTACATTGCGTGTCTCTGTTTTACCATATTGTCTATTTCACTTTGCATGCGGTATTCGACATTGTCCATTAACGTATGGACAAAGGCCCAACACTATTTTAACTATTACGTTACACCAGGCACAGTAATGTTTTCTGTTGGTGTGCATGAAATACCGTATTGGTTCATATCTGCGTTTACATACATTAGCAAAGACATACACACATACACGCTCGCACACGCAGACACACATATATACAGACATACATACACATATACACACAGACCCATCCATCCAGACAGACACACACACACACACACAGAGTCAGGCAGGCAGACAGGTCATACTTACATACATGGATGCATACATACATAGACACATACATACATCCATGCATACATGTATGCGTGCGTGCGTGCATACATACACACATGCATACATTACATACATACATACATACATACACACATGCAAACATACATAAATACATACATACATACAAACACATACACATATACACATACATATACACATACATACACACATACATACATATACACACATACATACACATACACACATACATACATACATACTACACACACATACATACATACATACATACACACATATATACACACACACACATATACTAGGCACATAAAGTACGATAACAATGTCAAAGGTACATATAAATTTTAATGGAGGGATCATGAGACCATAACAAGTCGGGAGAATTTCAATTGAAAAGTCAATCACAATGACGTCACGAGTCCACAAGCGGGACAGGGGTCAAACGACCATGTCACAAGCTCAATAACGGGTATGTCCACAATCGGCATTGACGTGCAAGGAAGGCTTGTGGGATGTCACGCCAGATTCTCTCAAGTTCTGTTGCAAGGCCAAGGACGTTATCTGGCGGATGAGGAAGACGGCGTAGACGTCGATCTTTCTCGTCCCGAACATGCTCTATCGGGGAGAGATCCGTTGAATTTGCAGGCCAAGGCAGTAAGTCAACGTTGTGGTGTTGCAAGAAATCCATAGCAACCCTTGCCGTATGAGGGCGGGCATTGTCCTGTTGGAATGTTAACCCAGAGCCATGACGTTGCAGAAAAGGAATTGCCACAGATCGAAGAATCTGATCCCTGTAGCCCACACCAGTTAAGTTGCCCTGAACAATCACCAAAGGAGTTCTTTGGCGTGCTGTTATTCCTCGCCAAATCATCACGGGACCACCACCAAAGCGATTCCTCTCCAAGACACAGGCCTGTGCATAACGTTATCCCACGCGTCTATGGGAAATGTTAAACCTGGACTCATCTGTAAAAACAACATTTCTCCACCAAAACAAGGGTCTGCGGACATGATTTCGGAACCACATTCGGTGAGCTTGTCGATGACGTTGTGTCAGGATAGGCCGTATGGCGGGACGTCGTGGTCTGATCCCGTGATGACGTAAACGTTGTCGAACTGTGTTTGGGTGGATACGGCGAAGTCCTGGGATGGTTCGGGCAGTCATCACTGCAGTCTGAAACCTGTGGCGCAGATGGGTCACCCTTATCCATCTGTCCTGTCTTGGCGTTGTTACACGTGGACGTCCAGAACGTGGCCGATCGATGACGTCATTTGTGTTCTGGTAGCGTCTCACCAGTGCAGAAATGGTGTTCCGGTGGCAGTGGAAATGTGCAGCCACTTGTCGTTGAGACATTCCCCCACGGACCATCCCAATGGCCTCATGACGTTGTGCAGACGTGAGCCTTGGCATGCTATGCGTTTCAATAGCCGTTTAATTTTTTGAACGATCGCAAGGACATGAGTTGAGCTTTCCAAAGTGACAGTATTGTGAGGCATTCATTTGCTCTGTTTCTCTTTCCCGGAATGTACGTGCAACAACGTATTGCACGTCTCAAGGACGAACCCACTGCCGTCATGGAACGTGGCACGTGCATGCATGTTGGATACATGTCATTTATCTCTGAGTTTAAATCCTTATGTATCTACACAGGTTTGATAAATTTAGATTATAAATTTTTGTATGTACAGTTTCTTTATGTGCCTAGTATACATACAAACACATACACATACACACATACACACATACACTCATACATACATACATACATACATACATACATACATACATACATACATACATACATACATACATACATACATACATACATACATACATACATACATACATACATACATACATACATACATACATACATACATACGACACAAAAGCCTATCTTGTCGTCGTAATTCCTGCTTGTTAAGCACATTGTCTACACATATCTAAAACATGACACAAATGCAACTAAACTATAACTGTTAATGTTCAGGTGAACATCTGTTCAGTCATCGTGAGCGTTCACACCTTAAACAGTAAAACACCCTTCCCAAAGAATAGCTCGCACCTGTTGACACGGCACATGTTCACAGATGGTGTGCTCGCGAGACGTTAACATGAATGTATAGATTTTCTGATCAATAAGTGTCGCATCTCAGAAGATGTTTTGATTATCATAATATAACTATTTGTAAATTGTAACAATTATAGCATTGCCCGCAATATGTCAAATCAATTTAGTTCATCATTTTTATATTTGTTCTGTGGTTTCAAGACATTAGATACCGGATACCGATGTTTTAATATAACACTTCTTCTAGTTTTGTGTCTAGACTGAAACAGCCTAACATGTGTCAAACATTGATTTTTTTAAGATTGATGCAAAATGTGCGATGAAGACGCCATTGTGGGGTTTGTGTACTGTAAAATTACAAAGAATGTGTATCCACGAGGTTGCCTGACAGTCTTGATACTGAACAGGCATACTAATGGTATGAGCATCATACGATTCTCGACATCTTAGGGAAGGGGCGTTCGAGAGACAGAACACATCTGCGTAACAATATAAGGAAAGGCAAGCTCTTTCTGTGTTAAGTAAATTATTTCGGATACCATTTTTTTCTATGTAACATCGACGCTGAGAAGTTGTTTTTACACTATCTATACGTATTTGGTTATTGTATTTGACAACTGGTGAGGTGAGGTGAGGTGAAATTGGGTTTTACGTCGTACTTGAGAATATTTCGCTCATATGACGACGTGCATGCGTGTGTATGTGTATGTGCGGTTGCTTGTACTAGCCCAGACTTAAGCTGGTTTTATAGTGCTAGCCCACTGAGATACCATGCCGCAGTGAAACATGAATACCCCACTCAGACACATTATACTGACTCCGAGCCGACCAGTCCTTGTTGTACCCATTAATGCCGAGCGTCAGGCAGGGACCAACAAGTACCATATTTTAACGTCTTTTGGTATGACGCGGTCGGGGATCGAACCCACTACCTTCCGCTCTCTGGGCGGACGCTCTAACCACTACACCACGGAGGCGGTCTTTGACAACTGGAACCTGAATCATGATGACTAATATACATGTACCGAGTTGGCGAGATTTCAATAGTTTTATGTAGCACGTTTGTTAGCATTGCATATATGTTGATGCCAAAACATGATTTGGAAAGTATCAATGTATTTTCCCCCTATCCCGAACACCTGGTGTGAATCACCGATTCTCAGGGCTCTGTACAGTCATCACTGTTGTGCCAGTTAAGCCCACCGTTGGTGTTATGCAATAGTGAGTGAGTGAGTTAGTTTTACGCCGCACTCAGCAATATTCCAGCTATTTGGCGGCGGTCTGTAAATAATCAAGTCTGGGCCAGATAATCCAGTGATCAAGATCATGAGCATCGATCTGCGCAACTGGGAACCGATTACATGTGTCAACCAAGTCAGCGAGCCTGACCACCCGATCCCGTTAGTCGCCTCTTACGACAAGCATGGGTTACTGAAGGTTCATTCTAACCCGGATCTTCACTGGTCGTGTTATACAAAATACACTACGTTTATAACGTTTATAACGAACACGCGTTTGATTTTACTCGAAATTCGTACGAGTGAGTGAAACTACGGATATAACGACCTGTTTGGTCCTTGCCACTAGCTGTGTATTTTACTCGAAATTTAAATCTAAATCGTACAACGGTAATAACGAAATGAGATCAATGGGCCCTTTACGTTCGATATAACCGTAGTTTAATGTATAATACAACTATTAAAATTTAAACATAACCTCAAAACAGACATTGACTGAAGACTGTCTTGCCAAAACAGATTGACATCAAGACGCATAGTCAGTGTGTTTAGCAATTTTGAGTCATTGAGTAAATTCTGTTCTGTTTACATTGTTTTTTCATTTGATTATATTTTATTTTCAGGGTTCGTCCATTGGAAAGAGATCAAGTGAACGAGCTATAGACTTGGATCTAGAAAGTCAGTTAAGCAGAGTGAAGCGACTAGATGCTGAAGTTCCCGAGCTTTCTCGTACCAAGAGACGAGATGTTGTCGTGAATGACGGATTGTCACGCATGAAGAGATATAACACAGATGAAATGCCATCCCTCTCTCGAGAGAAACGAGGCGACATGGAAAATCCCGCACTTTCTCGAATGAAAAGAGGCGACCTTGACGACAATCCCGTCTTATCTCGTGAAAAAAGGCAGGATTTGTCTGAAATTATCGGTCTCTCTCGCATGAAGAGAGGCGATGAACTAGATGTGGAACTATCACGCGAAAAGAGACATGATGTGGACGGCAGTTTAGCACTTTCGAGAAAAAAGAGAGAGGGCAAGAATCTCCTGAGGGTGAAGAGAGTGGATCCCGATTCAATGGAGCTGGATAGAGTTAAAAGAGGGGAGGTAATTCTGATTCGAAAAAGGCGAAATACTGACGATGCCGAAAAGGATATTTCTGGTGACATCGCTCCAAAGGAGAAGACACAGAAGAGGAAAACCGAAAACCAGAACCTTGACAAAGCTGATCAGAAAGCATTGGTGAAGAAGTCATCTCACATGAAACGAAAACGAGGCTACTGGGAGAAGCGAAAAAGGGGAGACTATTTGGTCCGTGAAGTCAACAGGAGAGAAATGTACCACAAGAGAAGAAACATGAACAAAAGAGGAAGATCAAAGATGATGAAGAAGAAAGCCATCCAGGGCAAGCAGAAACTTCAGAAGGAGGCGAAGATGAAGCGAAATTGGAAGAAGGCCGCCAAGAAGTCACTGGGAAACAGTTCAATTAAACACTTATAATTAGGGGCAAATTCGCGCACAACTGTGTGTCAAGATCTTAAGCAAAATTGGTTGTGTTTATTTTGAATGTACATAGTACCGTGAAGTAAAGAACATCAATGTGCATCAAATTGTGATTCCTATTTTTTCAGCAACAAACTGTCTCTGGCGTAAGCTACAAGTCATTATCTGATGCCATGCACTGTCTACTACGGCCACTGCCAGTATTTTCTTTTTTTTTGGCTACACAACATGTGTTTATGTAGAGTTTCCTATTAATTGTATTCACGGGGGATTACAATAAGAGAACAAAATGTGTATATTCCAAAGAATATCAGCTACCATCGTTATAACAAAGATACACACTGCTCTGTATGCTCCTGGATTTCAAGAGACTGCCTTCTGTCACAATGAACATGTATTTTCATTACTGTCAGTTGTAAATCTGAATATATTCCTGTTGTGGTTGTACAATGTAAGTAACAGGGCCAATCAGCATATCTATCATGATAATTTCTCAAAGTATAACCAGTGAGGTTAATTGTTGAAATCAATATAAACGAATGTATTCTCATAGAGTGCCCTGTGCCTTTATTGAATAAATGCTGTTAGTTAAATGTAGCCATGTTGATTTATGATTCATATTTTCAGCCATAACCTTATGGTAATCGTGGCATATGCTTGTTGGCTAAGATGTATGCTCGTCATTGCCCATGTTCTTATTCCCAAATGATTACAGAGTGCGAAGCCTATTCATAGTATTCCCACATTCATGTGGTGCGAATATAGAAAAAGGTGTAGAACCAAACTCACTCACAAACAGAATATGGCTGGATACCATTGGGGTTAGAAGGTGTTTTACCGATGCTGTACAATGTATGGTGAATATGCTTAGTTGCCTCACGATGCTCCTGCATTAAATACGAACTCAAGTCAACATTTCAAGTATGTGAAGAAACAGTACAATATCAGATGTTTAAGTCCAGACTTAAAACCCACCTTTTCTCAGTATATTATGTATAACTTCATCTGTAAATACTCCAGTGTAAATATTCTGTAGCGCTTTGAGCATGCCTTAGGGTGTGGAAGGGGCGCATTATAAATATGCATTTATTATTATTATTATTATTATTTTACAGGAGTACACACACAAACATTCTACTTATTGACAACTTAAACCAAACAGACAAAGTGACTTCATGAACGTTGCTTTCAACCTATTAGAAAACACAGGTATCGATACCGACATCGGTAGCCCAATTACATGGCCCAATTACCTGACCATAGAGCATATTTCGGACATTATGGTCGCAGAATACGCCAGAGCGATCATCCTGTTCAAAATCTAGTTGTATTGGAACAAGCCCTCCATAAACAATGGAACGCAATACCTCAAATTCAATGTATGATACAATTAATGAGGGCGGAGGGGTCAGCGATGTTATTGCAAATGGAAGAGGTTAAAGCAGATATTGACATTGTGCTAGGTACAATCGTGTGCGATTTCTTATGGATTGTATAGCAGAACCTTGACCATGACCGGGCTTGCTAACGTCATACAACCATAGTTATCAACTATACATAATAAGTCAAATTTTACCATGCTCGCTTCTATGACTTAACTACGTTTAGATCCTTTTGCGTTAGATTCGCCGTATTTATTCCTTGAGAGGCAATTTATCCAGGTGGTAAGAATATTGGAAAAGTTACGCTGCGACAGTTATACAAATCTGGGGTGTTGCAAGACCTTTTTCCATGCATGTGTGTGTATGTGTACACATGAACAAGGCAAAACACCAAGAAGACCAATAGCAGCAATACCTTACTATAGTAGGAGTAAGGGGCGTTGGGGTAGCCTAGTGGTCAAAGCGTTGGCTCGTCACGCCGAAGACCCGGGTTCGAATCCCCACATGGGTACAATGTGTGAAGACCATTTCTGTTGTCCCCCGCCGTGATGTTGCTGGAATATTGCTAAAAGCGGCGTAAAACCAAACTCAGTCAGTCAGTAGGAGCAAGGTCACTATTTACTTGATTCTCCTGAACATTTGTTTTCTGTGTTTCTATGGTGAACTGCACAATGTTTACAGCATTCCACGGGAACATTTTCATAAACTTAGGAAATAATGTTTTGGGATGTACAGCGAAACCTTATTATTTCGCACACCTCGCCTTCCGTAGGAGAACAGCTGAGAATGCTTGCACATTACAAAGAGATGTATGATTAGTTAATCCGTATGAGTTAACGGGGACGCTATTGTCCGGATTAACCGGGTTCACCTGTACACACAATTAATGAGGGAAAAAAATATGTTGCCAATTCAAAAACAATGTTCAAAGCCGTTCAAACACGAGAGAGCAAAACGTAGGGATCTTACTAAGTGATCTGCATTGTGTTAAATCCTAATGGGTTCAATGCAGTGATCACATTAGGAGGATCTGCATTGTGGTAAAGCACGACAGCGCTAAACTCAGAGATCTGGCAGTTACCTAACGGTGATCTTCAGAGGGGTAAAGTATGGGAGGGCTCAACACACTGATCGCCCAATTACCTGACCATGATTTGTATTTTAATAAAGCATGAGAGAGCTAAACGCAGGGATCTTACACCTACCCGACAGTGGGATCTGCATTGTGATAAATTACAACAGAGCTAAATGCAGAGATCTGGCAGCTACCTAACGGCGATCTTCATAGTGGTATGAGAGAGCCAAACACAATGATCAGACAGCTACCTGACGGTGATCTGCATTCTTCACATCACTTCACGCCAAACTGTGTTGTGATAATCGCGTCTGGTCCGATCAATAGTTCTGGCAAACCAATACATTCAGTTTAGACAAGATTTCAGACACGTCTTATGAAGGCCTGGTCTGGAAATCGCTGCGTCCAGCAATCTCTCCTAACAGTGAATATTGACGACCAAGTGTCATCCCGGGATATTCACAGCAACGTACAGGAAAGTACACCGGATTAAACAAATTGTTGTATTTCTAAACATCAAACACAAGTCCCTGGGCCACAAGACGACCTGATAACAGACTGCCCTGATGGCATTATATAACTGAGATGAATGGAATCTCTACTTCAAAGGACCAAAGCATAAATGGTAGTTTATTGAATAGATTGACACCAAAACCAGTCCAAATGGTTTGATTTGTAGAGCGAGGCTCGGTAATTTTTAGTTTCATCTGGATTCATCTCGCTAATCAGCTCTGACTGGAACTGACATTGGCTATCCTTTTGAGAGTGTTCGGTGTCTTTATGATCAGTGCAACGCTTAAATCCACTGCATTAAGCTCTTGATGGCAGGAACTGACTTCTTTGGACTCAAAACGTTCCCTGATTTCACTTTTTGCTTTATGTGACATGTAAGTCGAGGTCATCCTTGAGAGTATTACCACGTGAAAGGAAGTCTGGCATTAACCCAGCGAGAGGTTGTTAGGCCATCGATGTTGATGAAGCGATAGCGGCACTGGGGATCAGAGAGGTAAAAGATTACCCATCAGGGTGTCAGCCTTAAACCTGGGCATCAGGTGGTTAGAGCTGTTGCTGAGGCAAATCCAGCACTGCAGGAATAAACCCGCACTGCCAGAGATCCGTCATCTGGGGATTAAAGTAACTCCATGAGATAAGGCAGGAGAGGATGTGGGTTTTTTGGCGGAACCGATGGCAGTGATCGAAGGCGATATGCAGAGGAGAACCAGTGTGGTGGAACCCATTTGCTCAGAGGTCTTCAACCATCGGAAGACTTATGGGAAATCAATATCCAGTTCTTTATTGGATTTGGGGAAGATAAATAATCGACAGTTTTATATAACAGGCATATGCGTCAATAAATGGAAATACGAAATCGAAATGATTAGACGAGGACGCTAAGAATGAATGGTTCTTGTTGGATACTTCAAGTCTGTAATGATCCTGTATTGCTTTTGCAAGATGGTTTGTTTGTTGTTTAACGCCGCGCTCAGCAATATTCCAGCGGTCTGTAAAAATCGCGACTGGCCCATACAATCTAGTGATCAACATCATGAGCATCGATTTACGCAATTGGAATACGATGACATGTGTCAACCAGGTAACCTGATCATCCGATCCCGTTAGTCGCCTATTACTACAATCATTGGTTGCTGAAGACCGATCCTAATCCGGCTGTTGCAAGAAGTTCTGGCAAAAAATTTAAACGGAACTCCGATCAATATTTTCATACAATATACTAAAATGTGCAGCATTCAAAATACATAAAGCTTAAGCGGAATAAGGAGCAACACGTATATGTGTATTTCTAAGGATTCTAGATATCAAATAACACTGACGTCTAAACCTTGATCTATTTGACTGCACATGTTACAAGTAAACGTTCAGCATGCTTGACATACGAGAGTAGTGGGTGTCTCACCACGCTCGACAAGCTTGACAGCGCCGTTAGAAAGCCTATTCGTAATTTGACTCTTTTCAACCAGCATCAAATGGATGAATTGTAATACACTATTGGAGCGCATGACAAGTAGCCTAAGCTGTGTACTCCTCAGGGAGTTGAGAATTCGATCGATGCGTTGAAAAGAATAATGTCACACGCTTTGAGTGTCTGCAGTTTAGAGTCACCCTAATACTCTCTAACGGACCTAAATACTTTTACTGTTCTACACTCTTCAAAACAAGAAACGCATAGGTAAAAAATAAGGAAATGTATGACACGTCTTTAAGTGTACATAAGTCGATTAAGTTTGAAAAGAGGCGAAAGAAATTCGACACACGGATGAACATATGTATAGTTGTTGTTGTCAGCATTAATTCAGTTCACTCACTGCACATGTGTTGACACAAGGGGGCGTTCACGGTTCACTGACTGCCGTGGATGCATATTTTTTTCTATGGGGCGGGGTATAAATGATTTATTCTCCCTCGCAAAGAATTATACCATGCTTGGGATGTGTTCGGCCGTGTCCCCATGGTTCCTAGTATGGTGATCAGCCTTCAGTTGCTGGTGATCTATAGCCCGTGTTTTATTGTACTGTTGTTAATAGTGATATATTTTATGATATCGTACAAGCTTAAAATTAAGAGCTGTGGTAATCTAGTACTTTTACTGTCCTTCGATGACAGGTTTTAACGTTAAATTTATTGATTTGAATATTGATATAAATTGTTCTCGTTACGAAATGGCTGCAATAGTGCCGATGTGACGCTAAATATCAACTCACTCACTCACTGTGCACGGCCGGGCATACATACATGGTAATTTGTTCAAGGTCACGTGAACCAATCGGAGATGGACTTTCTTATATGAGGTAGGTTAATGCTGTTTGCATTGGCGAGATAGGCACCTGTTACACGATCTCTGTGGGGTCGAGCCTACTGGCGGTTAAAAAGTGGGAGGTCGCAGGATTTGGTCGACGACGCGATTTGCTGTAGGATTGCCTTGAACCATCACTAGCTCTGATCTACTCTGATCTTCCCTTGTATACCATGACGCTTTTCTGCACCAGATCTGTCCACCTGTCGAACGCAGTTCGGCGCAAAACGTTCGTGTTAATGTCGACAGACACGCTGTGTCCCATCCCGTCGCAGGAGGAAACGCGATTCATCGCTGAACCAAACGCGTTCCATAGGTTCCATGCCTG